ATGAGGGGTTTGATATTTTCGAAGTAAATCAGTCTGTCAGATTCCGTGTTGGGTGCGTACAGGCTGAGAATTCGCAGGTCCTCGCCTTGCCATTTAATGTCGATCCATGACCATCTTCCTTCCTCTCTATCTCCCTCGCTGTTTAGGAACTGTCCTTCGGTCAGGATTTTTGACGTTTTTGGGATCAGTATCGTTGTCCCTCTATTGCTAGGACCGTCTCTGTTGGACCACCTTGCGACTGCACATCCCCCTACAGCTCTCTCCATCCTCTGCTGTATCTTCGGGTGATTGATCAGGTTGGTTAGATGTGTCTCTTGGAGGAGTATGAGGTCGGGTTTGGGTATGTCCTTCCCCACCAGACCTGTCCGGATGTCTCTGAACTTGTCTTCGTCGGACAGGATGCTTCCCAACCCGTTGACGTTCCAGCTAACTATCTGGAGTCCTCTGGCGTGCCAGTTAATCCTGGGTGGGCTGCCTTGCCCCTGTCTGATTGCTGTGGAAATCCGCATTTGCACTTATTCTTTTCTTTTCTTTTTTTTCTTTTTCTCTTTCCCTTCCTGTTTTTGGTCTTTGGTGTTGTGATTTCATTTTTGTTTGTGAGGTGAGGTTATCTTGCTGCATCGGTGGTTCATTCACTCCACTGCCGCCTGGGTCTTGCTGCTGTCGGTATCGGAATCCCTATTGTCCTCACATGCTGCTGAGGAGCTCAGGTCGTACTCCCCAGCGCTGCTGTCCGACTTAGTTGGATGCCCAGCGTCGTCTCCCCCTGGGGAGAACTTGTTGTCCACTTCCCTCTCTGCCTCCCCCTCGTCGTCATCCATGTCGGACTCTTCCGTTGCCATGTCCACGTAGATGGGGGTTGCCTCGTCTTGCAGCGAGGTCTTGGAGGTCAGAAGGCGGGTCCTGATGATGTCAGCCAGCGAGTCTGCAATGATGTCGGTCGTGCTGAACCTCCCACTCAGCACGTTGTACGGCATCATGGTGATTGTGTCCCATGCCCTCCAGGTCAGGCCTTCGCTGAGTTTTGCCCTCTCATCGAGCTTGACCAGGATGGGGTCGAAGGGGGTGAAGATCGGTTTCTCCAGCGTCTTCCCTTCGGTTGTCTGCTCTCGTGGTGGGACCCCATACCTGTCTCTTATACACATCTAGATGTGTATAAGAGACAGGACTGAGTTTCGCCCTCTCATCGAGCTTGACCAGGATGGGGTCGAAGGGGGTGAAGATCGGTTTCTCCAGCGTCTTCCCTTCGGCTGTCTGCTCTCGTGGTGGGACCCCATACACCTCCAGTGCGGTCTCCGCTGTGACATTGTCCCTGATGCTCTTGGCCAGGGCTCTGTCGTCGTCGAGGGTGGGGATTGTGAACGCTGCGTCTGTGACCACCTGCCACTCATTGAGTTTACTTCTGAACCGGACTAGCAGCAACGGTCTTACTGCCCTGGTGGTCCCCCTATCAGTGCTTGCTGATATGGGAACGCTGGGCGCTTTGTTTTCTGCAATCATGCGGACTGTGATAAACTTCTCGCCTTGTTCCTTCTTGTAGTCCTGGTTCTGGTCGAACAGTCTCTTTGTCTGAGCTGCCACTGTTGCAATCTCCTGCGTGAGTCTGCGCTGTTCGTTCTTGCTGCCCACTTCGTGTTTGGGGGGCCCCCTTGATCTTTTGTCCCTTCCCTTCGATGGTTTCCAGTTTTTGGACACCATGTCGCGGATCGAGTCTCCAGATGTTTGGGGGTCGAAGCCTGTGCCACTGTCGTTTCCAGCAGAATCCCTTTCTCTCTTTTTTTAAAAATATCTGAAAGCGCTGAACTCCGACAGTTCGGAGTTCATGCGCAGCAATTCGAAGAAGTTTTTGGATTGAGGGATTCCTGCCACTGTTTTACCAGTGGTTGGTTTCCCTGTCTTCTCCAAATGTTTCATGCAGGCCAGTCTGACGTCAAACTCCTTTTCCCTTTCGTATTTCGCTCTCTGCAGGTACTCCTCTAGCTAGGGGATGGGGCTCAATTTGCTTTTCGAGGTGTCCGTTCCTGTCTTTGAGTCCGTTGCTGTCGAGTCCGGGTCTGTCCCGGGGGGGGTGTCGCCAGTGGGGGGCTGTTCAGCTCTGGGGGTTTTGCCTGATCCTTCCTCAATTGCCCTTCTCTTCTTCCCTGTCCTGTCATCTTGAGTGCTCTTGGATGATGGAGAGGCGTTCCTCTTGAGTGCAGGGGGGATCTCTGGTTTGGGATGACAGTGTTCCAGGGTTTGTTTCGCTTCCTGCAGCAGCGTGTTGTTGTCCAGATTGGTGTTCTGGCACGTTTCTGCTGTTTTAAACCTGATCGTCTCCATGTCCCACAGCAGATCTTCGTGTTTTTTCTCTTCTCTGATCGCCCATGGGTCGATAATTTGATCTTTGTGGATTTTGCCCGGAATGCCTGTTACTTTCTTTGCTCCCACTGCGTGCCATCTGCTGTCTGAGGGAGGAAAAATGTCTGGCTGTTTCGTTGAGGGGTTCGTGTGGTATGTCCAGATCCATTTCGGGTCGTCAATGGTGTCGTCGAAGACCCATCCGTTGTAGTCCTGGTCATTGACGAACCAAATTCCCTTTGCCTCTTCAACTTCCACCAACATGTTCTGTCTCAATTTTTTTTCTTTGGAGTGCTCCGGGGATATCGGGAACGCTGGGTTAGTGCCCAGGTGTCCTTTCTCTCTGCACCTGAAACAGATTGGGGCATCTTTGGTCGAGACCGTGACCGAGGATGCTTCCTCCCCTATGCAGAATTCCCATTCTTCCGGGAATTCGGGATTTGATTCCGTGTTAACTTCCAAAACCGTTGTGATGGAGTCACAGTGTGGGGCCAGGAATTCTGGAGTTGGAAGTACCCATTTCAACACTTTGTTGTTTGGGTATTCCACCTCCAGTCGGTCCTTGATCAGTGGGTGCCCTCTAATCGGGATGTTGTCGAACTGGACCCAGAATTGGTCCCTCATGAGTCGCTGCTTCTGCAGGCTTGGGCGTGGTGGAAGGGGATGTAATGGGGGAGGAAAGGGAGAGGGAGGGGAAGGAGTTTGGAGACGGTGGTCACGAGCTTGGACGTGGTGGGGGGGAGATGGGGTGGGGGAGGAGAGGGGTTTGTGAGAGGGAGGGGAAGGAGTATGGAGGCGAGGTATTGGTGTTAGTCGGGGTTAGAAACACTTCACTTCACTCGAYGTATGACCGAATGGGTGGAGCAGTCTCCCTCGAGGTCTTCGATGGGGTCTATTCYGTCAYGAGGCAGGAGGTGGGTGGCCAGCTGGCTCGTGCTGGTTCCTCCTTCGCTGGGCTCYTGGCTGGGGGCTTCTACCGTCTCCTGAWCTGACGYYGGCTGGGCGACTGTGGRACGTCGCCCGTTAGGTAGATTGTTCCTCTCGAACTGGTGGYTGGCGGCTCCTCGCGATGCTGGTGCTGGAGCTCGTGGTCTGGASTGGTCTTCGTCACTTCCGAAGATGGTCTTTATCGGGTACGTTTGCTCGGAGAAGGTAGGCTATGGTGAGCCCAGGAGCTCTCCTTTGGCCTTGCATGCCCTGCTTGCATGCAGTTGTTTTCTCCTCCTTTCCGGGCRATGGCRGGCGAWGTTGTCAGGCTTGGCGATGGCGAGTATTTGCGCGCGCACCGRGCGCGCGCCTGCACGGGGGGGCTAGCCCCCACGTCGSGATGGCGGGYGTCGCTTGCCCGCTTCGAAATTCGAAAAGTGGCGGGTGCTTCCTGCGAGCGGCTGGGCGGGAGGGCGGCGGGCGGCGGTAGCTGGAAAAAGGTTGGCGTCAGCCCGTAGGGCGTCGCCGGGCGCTGGCGCAAATTAGCGCTGCGCTGTTTTTTGCGCTAACCGGTTGGCGCGGGCGCGGCTCTTTGTCTTCTGATGCTGCTTGGTTTCTGAAGTTCGCTATCGCTCATTTCCTTGCACTTACTTCAAAAAAAAATAATAATAATAAGAGGTGTGCCGTGGGCCCCTCCATTTCCCTGTTCGTCTCTCCTCCGTCGTCTTCTCTCATCCTCTCTGTTGGGCCGTGGCTTTGCCGCGGCGGGTCCGACTTGTCGTACTAAAAATCAAAATATCATCCAAGTAATCGACAACGTATTTATCGAGCCATTGTCAGAAAAGTTTGTTCATGCATCTTTGAAATGTGGTAGGGGCGTTCATCAGTCCAAACGGCATGACCATGAACTCGTAGTGGCCTTATCTCGTTCTAAAGGCTGTTTTGTGCTGGTCTTTGGGCTGTATCTCGATCTGATGGTACCCTGATTTCAAGCCAATCTTTGAGAAGTACTTACAGTCTTGCACCCTGTCCAATAAATCATCTATCGGTGGTAACGGTTCGGCATTCTTCACAGTCATTGTGTACAGTCCCCTATAGTCAATACACATGCGCATTTCGCCCTCCATCTGGGACTGGGCCCAACTGGGACTGGGACTGGGACTGGGACAATTTGGGACCTTGGGAACGGGGACTCGGGATGTCTGCAGCATGAAATCCTGTCAGAAGAACAAAATGAAGAATGCAAGAGATTGACGACACATGACTCGTCATGATTGGTGGACGCCGCACGAACAAATGCAAGATATATATGACACTGACTTATCAACTTTGTTGCATAGCGCATACAGGATTTTATGTTTAAATCGCAGATTCAGCAGATTGCAATGTGTGAAGAGTCATCCGTCCCCGCTGCAAAGGTTGGGGAGAGATGTAGAGAGAAGCTTGTATTGTCCCAGAGTTGAGTTTTGCATTCGGAATGAGGTAGGACCATAAGGATTGACTCAACAAGTAACCAAGAGCACAAGCACTTTAAAGAGAGAAGAGTTATAGAGGATTTATTCAATTAATTGAATGGCTTGTATTGATTGGATGCTTATTTGCTTGCCCATAAAGGATGCCGCATGTCATGTGAATGACTCTCGGGATGGAATGATGTTGGATTGGTGCCGCCGATTTCCATGACATTCTTTGATGTTACACTTTGTGACTTCGTAGGCTAGTTGTGCGTAGCAATATGTGATCCTTCACTGCATTGACTTTTGAAAAGGTGGTATGGGATTGTGGTCATTTGACTTTCATGGCATTCTGTTGATCAACATGGTGTGGAACGGTGGCTCAGTTGTGCATAAAAATGTGCGATCTACGAACATATTTCTGGAGAGACCGCGTGAAAATGGGCCATGGGTGGGAAAACTGGGCAACTTTGGGGTGTCCAAGAAGTACCTCCTCACCACAGACTCAGAAGTGGACGAAGAAGCAGAAAGTGCTCCGCGACCTCGATCAGGTCAAATACTCGCTACGACAAGGATCCAAGGACTGTCAGCATATCTAGATCCGGAATTTGGGATAAGCTCCAGACTGACGACAATGAGTGATGTGTTCAGCATCGGCGTGTTGCTTCTGGAGATCATAACTGGTCGACAGGCTTTCGACCCATCACGTGAACCTTCAGATCTTGCAGGATGGGTATGTACATTGACTCACCTACACTTTTATTTCCTTTTCTCGTAAATGTCATCATACACACAGCTCCAGTTCTTTCTGCAAAGCATTCCACCGTATGCACACAAAACAGAACAAAGGGTAAGTATCATTGTACCTTGACTCACCCCCATTTGTATTCTATCTGGGAGAGAAAACGCAAAGGTAGTAAGCGGCATAGAATATGATTTTGTGTCCTTCGGGACATCCATTAAAATTGGAACAATAGAAAGAAGATTAGCATAGCCCCTGTGCAAGGATGACACACATAAATCGAGAAATGGTCCAACGTCGGACCAACGACAAAAAAAAGAAGAATATGATTTTGTCCGTTGCTGTTGAAGCAACTTCCCATTTCAGCACTTGCATACATGGATGCTTGATGTCATCAAGGATGTATCTTTATTGAAGTTTTATGGCCTACTCAATCGGCTCAATTGAAAGCTATGAAAGAAGTGTGGTCTTTTCTGAATGTACCTGACCAGACAGACTCAGTCCAAGGAGTTCTGATGTGAGTATGCCCTTCGTTTCCATATTGAGTTCTGATGCAGTTCCCCTCCACTTTCCCGTCTTCGACCATCCACCCATCCACCCATCCACCCATCCATCCTGGCTTCTACCCCCCTGTGTTATCCCTCTGTCCTGTGACCTCATCCTCTCTCAATCCTCCCGATCTGGTTCTCTCCAATCTCCAGTTCCTCTTCGCACCATTCCTTACATCTATTGTTGTGGTGGTGCTGGGGAAAGAAGAACGAAGAGGCCTGGTGAAGAACTGTGTGGCAGGAGGTGGTTGCAGAAGAGTAGAAGACTTGTTGAAGGAATGGGATGAGATTGTAAGAAGTTGTGAATGACCGAGTAGAAAGGGACAGGTATAATAGGCGTCTGAGAAGGAAGAAAAAGCACTATAAGAAGTATGGCTCTTGTCATTGTATATTGCACATATATTGTCAAACAGATATAAATCATATAATATAATAGGTAATAATACCGTAATATAGCATATAATCTTAATTTCTATATTGTCAAAATATTTTTAGAAAGTTCCTCTATTCTATTGGCAGGGAGCAGCACGTGCGGAAAAATGGGTTCAGTGTCCGATTTAGAGTTTAAGAAAATTGCTCTGGTCTATTCGTGGGAGCAACACGTCCTGGAAAATGGGTTCAGCGTCCGATTGAGAACTTCCAAAATATTTACCTCGATAGTGCAAAGTTGGCCATAAGGGACACTCGATGGATTTCAGGAGCAGATTTGAAAGTTACCTTCAAAGGATGCGATCCCGACGACACTCGATGGATTTCAGGAGCAGATTTGAAAGCATCCGCACCGCTGATCTACGCTCACTACGAACGACAAAGGTTAGGTAAGGGAGCTTCACGACCTGCCGCTCCCACCCAGACTTCGGTCCCTCCCTCAGACAGACAGCTTCGCCCTCGCAGGTAAGCTCGGTCTTTCAAGGAGGGGGGGGGTGGCATACTGCGCAGCCACACGGGCCTGCAGGGCCCGACCAGCGTTCTCAGCCTAAAAGCCTGAAAACAAGGGCCTACAGGCCCTGTGTCGTTTCAGCCTAAAAGGGCCCTCCAGGCCCCGAGTCTTTTCAGTCTGAAACGGAGGGCCTGAAAAGATCAACCTGACCTGAAACTTAAGCACCAGACTTTAGCACAGGCCATTTTGGGCCTGTTTCCAAGACAACCCTTGTTTGAACTTCAACACCAGGGTCTGGCACATTTTGGCATTGGCAAGAGCAGCCTCCTGGACGGCCTATATAAGACTGGGCCGCCCTGGCAGGCTGCAGGTGGTCACGAGGCAGTTCACGGGCACTTCACGTGCAGGAGGCAGTCTTCAGGATTCGGCAGCATCACTCTGGAGGAGCGCTGGAGTAGTAGTAGTAGCGTTAGCAGTAGTCTTCAGCGTGGGGTGCTATTAGGAGCTAGAGTAGCGTTGGAGAGAGAGAGATGGTTGGCGGAGGCCAGGGAGACTTGCCTGTGGCGCCATAGCTCCAGCTTCGTCTTCGATGTACCTGCAACAAGGCGCCACCTTCACAGGTTCGTACCGGATTGAGAGAGAGAGAGAGAGTTCTTCTTCTTCCTCTTCTAAGTCCACCATCTCTCCCTCACCCTCTTGCTACCTAACTTCTCAGTATCTGCAGACTATGAGAGAGAGAGAGATTGGTGACTTTGGGACTTGACGACATTTGGATCCAGACTCTACATTGGGATTGAGACATTGGACGAGGGATTATTTGGGACCTGTGCCGAAGACTTGGTGTTGACGGCATTCCCATCTTCCCCTCTTCTTCGTCTGTGTATGGTTGGGGACTGGCGCATTCTTCCTGTGTCAGCTCCAGGCCCCTTCACACCATGGAATGATGATGATGTATGTTTGGTCTGCATTGCAACATTGATTGTTCGGATCATTGGTATATTAGCCTTCCGCTGCGCTATCTTGTACTATGTGAGAGATGTCGGTTCTTGTTCTGGGCTGCACCGTTACGGTATGCGACAGCTGGGCAGCGGAGCACTAGCAGCCATAGCCGGGCTGCAGGGCGCTAGGGGATAAGAGGGTGATCGGTGGTCTTCAGGAAGGATGCCAGTGTGGGTGGTCAGGGTCTGATGAGGGGAGACGAGATACGTAGCTGGTGCATGAGGGAGGTCGGCTATGGTGTTGACGTCATGTACATTGGTCTTCAAAGTCGAAGTGAGCCTGTTGCGTGAATGCTGATGTAGTTAGGATAGGCAAGTAGTGTAGGCTGGGCGCTGGGCGCCAGACGGAGAGGAGCGACATTGGATACTGTGTTGGTGTGTCCTGAGGGCTTGGACATTGGCTCATGACTTCATTGTATTGCTCTTATTTGGATGGAATCTCGGTGCAATGGTGCTCTCGACTTGTACACGACTACTTGGACATCTGTGTGAGTTCGCAACTCGGCTTTCTGTATCCCACTCATATTCCTTTGTGTGTCTGAGTTTTCAATTACTTTTGTATGTGTACAATGAAATTCTATGATCGAAGGAGAGCAGTACTTTGGCAGCAGGATAGATAAATTGTGTGTCATCACTTGACAAAGGATTTGGAAAATTTTGGATGCCTAATGCTGAAGGGAGTCAATCGTGCTTCTAGAAAGTTCTAGGCACTTTCGTTAACGGTATGGTGAGCATAGTCACAGAATGTTGTATACTCTTGGAATACTCTCTCAGAAGTATATGAGAAGTGTGAGTCGATAGATTGTGCCTCTCTGGGTAGGCCACATTTATCATGGAAAAAAGAGGGGGAAATGTGATAGTGACAAAGCAGGCAGTTGCAGAATGTTGTAGGCTTTGGAATATCCTCCGAAACTATGTGCGAAGTGTGCGTCGATAGATTGTGCCTCTGGGCAGGCCACGCTTATCATGGGCCTATCGCTAAGGGTGAGGTAAGTGCAGTCGCAAAATGTTGTGGACTCTGGAATATGCTATCAGAACTATGTGACGTGTGAGTCGATAGATTGTGCCTTTGTGTAGGCCACGTTTATCGTGGGGAAGGAAGAGGAGGGGAATGTGATACTGACGAAGAAGGCAGTGAAGGGACTCGCTGTGAAAAGTACTGGGCAAACTCTGTGAGCAGTAGTGAGATCAGAGCAGTCAAGTGCAGCATTAAAAATTGTGTGACACAAGGAACTTTTTCTTGATCCTCTTCTTGACAGATGATCAAGTGTTGGACTGTAAAAGTGATGGAATAGGGCCGGATGTCACACGTGGTTTTTAATTGGTGTGTTGAGAGGTGACTCTCTCTTAGCATTGTCATTAAGAGAATGAGGTTGGTAGATCGACAGTGGTTGGTGAAGGATTGATTCTAGAAAGTCATGGGGATTGCTAAACGCAAAATGGCCGTTGTGGTTGACTGTCGGCAAGTTCTAGGGCATTGTTCTGAGCAGCATCGGCCCCACGTACAGGGACGGGCCGTACAGATTTCCGTACGACCGTCCGTACGGCCCCCCAAGACCCATACGGCCCGTCTGTACGGCTGCCCAAGGCCCATACAGCCCGTCAGTATGGACTTTGGCCCCTCCG